GTCTAAATGATTACACAATTGTTTGAACTTATTGCAAAGATTGACCTATCCCTAAATTTGAGGACGATCAAATTATAATAATATTGGAAGTTAGCTGAACTTTGTGTGAATATTTGTGATGACAGTCAGACAAAAGTTTGATAGTGCTAGAGCGGAAGTCCAACAGTTTTCACGAAGAAGTCCGGTGATGGTACGACGTTGATCAATGGTTAGGCGGAAATCCGACGATGGTCGATGGCAGGACAGAAGACCAAGGATGGTCGGCAGTAGGGTGGTGGTCGAGGAGGAGTCTAGTGGCAAGAGAGCTTCAAGATTTCTCTTCATCTCATCTCTTCTTTCTCTTGCATGCTCTCCTTTTTCAATAAATAATAAGATGTCTATTTACAATTTTTTTTGGAGTAGCATGACTAGTAAATAGGGAGAAATTCAAGGGCATGTTAGCAGTGTTTCAATAATCAACATATATCTACTCACTCAATCATGGACTGTTTATCAAATATTTGAGTGTCTTAATGATGTCATAATTTTACAATCTTGGGCTCGTTTGATTCGTCACATCTGTTAAGGAACCGGTTCACCTATTAAAACAAACCGGTTACAGTGTACTTTCTTGGCATGTATTGTTCCTATAAATACAACTTTGTAATACTATTCATAATATGAATAAAATCATTTTTCTTGTTTCCTCTCTCTGCCTTTCTCTGGCTTTCACCGGCTCTCGTCTTCTATCACGTCACTCTGTGCCCGTCGGCATAATAATCTCCTTATGACTCCCAATCGTTATATCAATGATCAATAGAGGATATCGCCAAACGCTTTTTAAAGGAAAGCCCGTCGGCCCACCATCCTGTACATGTCAAGTCAATCTCCAACCAACAATTCAACCAGTCTTCACTTGTCTTTCAGTAACAATAACAATAATTCAATCATATATTCACATTCGTATGCATATTCAATCATTCAAATCATCAATTCGGAAAATCAGAAGTCGTACGAGAAATCGACGGCATAACGGCAGTACACAGAATATACACAGAAATCACAGATTCAGAAATTTACCAAATTGTCACAGAATATCCACAACAATATTATAAAACTTTTACTGTACTGAAGCAACATTTTTCAACATCTAAATAATTTTATATGCGATAAAAATCGTACATAACTCAAAATAACCGGTAGAAACTTTACAGAAAATACTCAAAACGTTCAGACAGATCATATCAGAAACATATCAAAAGTTGTGCGGTAAAATTTTCGTCAATACAAAATTATGCACGTTTTTCGGTAACATAAACACAAATCTGAGCACAGAATTATCAAAACTCAAAGTCTTCGAAATCAGAAATAGGATTCGGAGTCCTTACTGCGAGACAAACAAATCTTCCAACTGCGTCGTCGGACGAAAAGCGCTCCGCGGGCTCCAAAACCAAGCTTTTTTCCTTACTTTCCTTCTCTTTCTCTCTCCTGCCTTCTCTTTCTCTCTCCTCCAAATGAATCCAAAATATCTCAAATCCGATACTTATCAAGTAGGATCATCCAGGACGATGCCCAGATCGTCCCGGGACGAACTCCTCTAGACACAGATCTTACAGACGAAAATTAATTCCAATTATTTCGTCCCTGGACGATGCTCTCTGTTCGGTTCGTCCCGACGGTTCGTCCCGACCCTTCCAGGTTCGTACAGACGAACATGTGTCGACCATCCTATGCTAGAGGGATGGGTAGACTCACTACATCAATAAGGTCAATTTCTTGATGTGACAGGAGATGAATCTTTGATTGAGGGAGAGGGGTCACTACTTTAGGATGTTTAGATTAAACATCCTCAGTTAGTAGTGGATCATGAGGGAGATGAATCTCCTCTTATTGTATTAGTATTGATTGGCGAGTGCCTCGTAGAAGTCGCAAGATTTCATTATGAAATATTTCCATTTTGTGGATACGATCTTTCAGGGATAGCTTTGATGTCCCTTCCTCAACAGGATTTCTTCCACTCTTAAAGAAAAAAAGTAGATACTTGGCATCCCTGATTCATGGACTGATTGGTGTGAGTTAGAGAAGGAGGCTCCAGTATTGCTATTGCTATGTCTATTGACCATTGAAAATGATTCAGTTGTGCTTATAATAGTGGGTTGTATTCATAGAGACAACACCAAACTGTTGCAGGCTAGAATATTCACAATGGTAAATTAAGTGAATTTTTTGTCTAGTGTTACACGGATATCCAACACACAACACCATATTTTTTACTTGAAAAATCTTAAAAATGAAAAAAAAAAAACCACTGGGCTGCGCCCAGTCAAAATGATTACGTTATTGTTTTAACATATTCAAAGACTAACACATCCCTAAATTTGAGGGCGATCAAATTGCAATAGTCCAGAAAGTGGGTTGAACTTTGTGTGAATATTTGTGATGAGGGTCGGGCAGTAGTCCTATGGTGTTAAAGTGAAAGTTCAACATTTGTCAGTAAGAAGTCCAACGATGGTCAATGACCAGTTGGAAGTATGACGATGATCAATGTTTGGGAGGAAATCCGTCAATGGTTGGCGGCAGGGCGGAAGTCCAACGACGGTCGGTAGCTGGGCGGTGTTCGAGGAGGAATCTGATGGCAAGAGAGCTCCCAGATTTTTCTTCATCTCACCTCTTCTTTCTCTTGCATGCTCTCCTTTTTCAGCGAAGAATAAGATGTCTATTTATAAATTTTTGATAGTATGATGACTAATAAATAGCGAAAAATCAAGGACATGTTAAGAGTATTTCAATAGACGACCGATATCTACTCACTCAATCATGGATTGTTTATCAAACATTTGAGTGTCTTAATGATGTCATAATTTTACAATCTTGGGCTCGTTTGATTCGTCACATCAAGCCATTCTATTCAACTATAAACACGTCGTCTTTGGATATCATTTGGTCATTCAATTCATATTTTGAACATTCTAAATGTGTTTCGTGTCTTTGATTTGGGCCCATTTGAGTTCAGATTGGGCCGATTTTGATATCATTGGCTTCATCTCTTCTGGTCATTCAATTTGATTATAAGTTCGCTGAAATCAAAATTCAGATGATCTCAAATTTAATTTAAGAATTTTTTTTATTTATATTTGTATTGAGATTCGCATATGATCAAGATAATTTTTTTGATTATACATCAATAAGACTTATCTTTTTTATTTTAAAATTTCAATCATCAAATTATTATTTGAGATGTCAGAACCCTAACATGCCATGTGACACACAATAAAGTGTGATTAGAGCCGCAGTATGGCCAAGAAAGATGAGGACAAAAGACACATGGCTGGGCGAATCATTTAATCACCTGATTTACAATAGGCAGAGAAAAATGTGCCTCTTTCTAGAATTTGTCAAATGGATTATGGCTCACGAAGCCTTTATCTTTGATGATTCCCGGAAGAATGACGACTTGGTGATGATCCTAATGTTTGACAAGTTTATATTTTCAATGTGGTCGTCTTCGGCTTCTTCATCAGTGCCGTTTCAATGTCGAGCCAAAAGAAGTTTCTCATCTTTTGAAGTTTGAATCGGTGGCGTTGACAGCTGCCTACAATAGAATATATATATTTTTATATTATGCATATTTTTAACATCTCATATATTATCTTTTTAAAATATAGTTAATTTAATAGACAAGATGCATAATAAAATTAATCTCATCCCTTATAAAATATATAATTATATCTTATCATAAATTTTTTCATCATAATAAGCATATGAACCCCACTAATATAAATGACTTAGGCTTCGTTTCAGACTGCTTTTTATTGTTTCATAAAGCGGATTTTTAGTACAAAAATTAAAATTTTTATATTTGAAAGCATCTTTAAGAAGCAGTAAAAAAACCGTCCCAAATGAAGCCTTGAGGCAATTTTCTTACTGCTTTCGACATCAGCTTTCTAGCATAAGTATTTTTTCAAGCTACGAAAAAATAGTGGCTAAAAGTTATCTCAAACGAAGTCATAGACATTTGCCCATTATCATTTACCATTAATCATTTCTCTTATTCAAATTTACATTAAAAAAGATAATCATAATGGATTATAAAGTTCCTGAATTTGTTTTATAATGAGTGCATTACAAAAATCATTTATATTTCACCCATCTTAAAATAAATAAAAAAATTTTAAAATCCATCATTGCATAATTCTTTTCCCTTAATGTTACTGGATGGCCAAAATTCACACCCAATTCATTGGTTGTGTTATGCTCGTATCACACTGCATGATTGATTGGACAGTTTTATCTTAAAATTTAAGCAGGTGGGATAATTTTCATGAATGGCCTGGCACGTACGACTTAGATTATAATCTTGTGCTGGATCTGAACCAACATGGTTATAAATATAATAATTTTAAAAAGATATAAAATTTTGTGAATAGCAATACTCAAAAAATAACTTAAAAATTTTTGAACTTCTATTTATAAATAAACAATTCAAAATTAAGAGAACTTTATCCACTATTAATTATAAAATTTTTTAAATAAATTTATTCTAACTCATATAATTAGATATATATGATAACACCTATTGCAATGATCAAAGCCTTTTTATTATTGGCCAAAACGCCTAAATCATATTTTTTTCTTGTTACACAAAATGTCACTCTTTTTACCTAATTAATTAAGATTAGATTAATTTTAATGATGCAGATGGCAGGTAATCTATCATTCGTCAATTTAATAATAAATAAAATTATGAAAGATAATCTTTAAAAAAATTGACTTAATATACATCTTGAACATATTTTATTATATAATATTGAAAGGAAAAATCACAGTACGAGTTCCTGACAACTCGGGCAAGGTGTAACGCGTCATGTTGTTATTTGTCCCGAAATATTCTACCCTGTCTACTCCGCCGCAACGGATCACTTCAGTCCGAGATTTCCTACGGGCCCGAAAGGCGAAGGGCCCGCCCACCCATGATCGGCCCGAGTTCATTAAATCAAATCCTTGCCTCGAAAATCACACGATACCCTGCGCGCTGCACCCGTGAATCCGTGATGGCTTCCCCCAAGTATTCACAGCCCTTCCACAGCCGGCCTCCTTCCCCATTTCATCACCCCGCTATCCCTGTCTCTCTGGTTTCCTTGAACCCGCCTTCTTTTCTTCCCTTTATGTCCACAGTGACTTCAATGTCTTCCTCCCTCCCCCCGACAAAAAACGCCATGGCTTCCAACAAGGAAAGACTATGGAGCCGCGCGTGGCGAGGAGCAAAAACCCTCTTTTTCGTCGTCAACATGCTTGTCTCCCTCCTCCTCGTCTGCGCTCCTCCGCTTCTCGTCATCCTCCTCGATCTCCTCCTCCCCTCCGCTCTGCTCGCAGCTGCCAACCGCCCGGCGTTCTACACGGCTCCATCGTTATCCTTCCAGCTAAGAACGTTCCAAATTCAAGACTCCCTCATCGATCTCCCCGTCATCTCGATAGCCAGATCAATTCTCATACTGTGTAAGGACTGGAGCTGGCGGGTTGATCTCTAACTGCTTGATAAGTTGCCACTAAAGAAATTCTCGGTTTTACGCTGCAGGTTTTTACTTGTGCTGTAACGGGTGGGGACCGTATTTGGGGGTCACGACCGTTTGCGGTATAGCCTCGGTGGGGTACGTGTCGCTGAAGGCTATTATGATGTTTGGGCCTGAGGCGCTGCGAGGGCAACGACGGCTTCTCATGTTTGGAGCTAAGGAGGGTCCGGCCATCGAGGCTCTGTTCTTGAGTTCGATGGCTCTGGCCATGGCTCATGTGGTGGCGGCGTATAGAACCAGCTGCCGAGAGAGACGCAAGCTACTTGTGTACAAATTAGATATCGAAGCGGTATATGAACTAATCAAACCCATCGCCCTCCTTTCTGAATTTTATTTAGAGGAAATTTAGAGCAGCAATCATATTAAGAATTCAGCCTTATTATTATTATTATTTTGAGCTCTGAAAATTTTTTTCTCTCTTATTTCAGTGTTAATTCGCATGATTGCCATGTCATAGAAAAGTGTGGGTAAAACTTTTAAATAGTTCAGGATCGTTTAATTTGATCGTTTAATTCAAACTGAATAGAGAAATACAATCAGAAAAGAAATAAATGCTTATGAAGTATGAACTGATTACTTTATCCAGTTGTATATCCTAAATAAGATCAGTTCAGTATTCGTACCAACAAGATTCTCTTGATTAAATTCGGGGATCTTTTTCACAAGTTTTGATTTAGTTGGAAATTTCTGAATCCATTTCTGTTAGTAAAAGAAGTTCTGATTTGTTTATTTATTTATTTTAATAACGGTGTATATTATTCTCGCTCATTTTTTTCTTGGAGCATCCCTGCAACTTGTTTCCGGTGTTTATTTTCTTGCCTTTGGTTGAATGAGGAGGCAAACTCGTCATCGGTGGGGTGCTGTGTGCACGTTGTTTTGTGCTTTTTTTTTTTTTTGGGTTGGCAGCGTGGTGGTTTAGGTGGATATTAAACAGGTGGTCTTCCTCTTCAAACTTACGAACCTACCCAGGGATGCTTAGCTTTGTTGGTGGGCGAGGAGGGTTGGGTACCCAACCCAATCAGCATTCGATTCTTCTTGAGTGGCAGCGCCTCTTAAGTGGGGCTTATGAAGTACGAGCCAGGAGGTGGTGGGTGCCTCTTCTAGTTCAGTTGAGGATTAGTCACACCGCCAAGTCCCTATTCGGGGGAAAATTATTAGGTCCGGACACCGGACGTAGAGATAAGTCCGGACATTCACTAAAAATTTGACACGTGGAGTGCACTTTAGCTGCGTTTAACAACGCTCTTTACTGCGCTTTAATTGCGCTCTTCGCTGCGCTTTGACTGCGCTTTTGATGCGCTTTTGATGCGCTTGGCTTAAAGTTCCGCAGATACATTAAACATATTGAATATCCACGTGTCAACTCCACATATCGACATTTTATTGACGTCTAGACAGATCTCTACGTCCGGTGCCCGGACCTAATAATTTTCCCTCTTCGGGGGTGATGATAGAGGGATACCGGTTAAAAAAAGAAAAGAAAAACTTACGAACCTTGCTGATGTATATATTTTGTTGTTTATCTTTGAGTTAGGTATAAACGTGCTGTGCTTATGCAAACAATAGACGTGCATCGACATAGATTGGGGGGTTTGGGAAAATGGGCATTTTTTATCGGTTTTTGGAAACATATTTTGCAAAGATATACGTTTTGTTTTATTATATATTTTTATTTTAAGTATCATTTATTATCCTTCAATACAATTAAATTATTAGACATTTGCAAATATAATTGTCATAGAAAATTTTATGGGATGAATTCTCTCAAAGAATTTTTTTAATGTGCGCTTCATAGAAAGCAAATAGAATTAAATTATTAGACATTAAAAAATATAAGTATATCTCAAAAAACATATGAACGGCAGGAATAAGAAATCATGGGAAATTTACAAGTGTTATAAAATTGGCCTATTTTGGATATACTATTTGTATCGGGATAAGTCTTTTTTTTTTTTTTTTAATGTTACATGTTATTCTTCAATATAATTGTTGTGAACTGTGTCTGGGCAATGGAGATCAGAAGTACTATAGTCGTGGGCGAGAGAGATTATAGTCAGCGAGCGACGGTGGTCTGAGGGTCCGTGGTCGGCAGGCGACGGTGGACGGAGGGACCGTGGTCGACGGGCGATGGTGGTCGGAGGGAGCGTTGTTAGTGGGTCACGGTGGTCAAAGGGACTATAATCGACGGACAACAATGATCTGAGGGATCGTAGTCAGCGGGCAACAAAAGGTTGGAAGGACCATAGTCAACGCACATGCGACGGTGGTCCTAGGGATCGTCGAGCAAAAGTCCGGTGGCAGTCGGTAGAAGGTGGAAGTCTGGCGGTGGTCAGTGACCGGGCGGTGGTGATGGTCGACAGTTGTTCGTCGGCGGTGTTGCTGGATCTCTTGAAGCCTCAAAGTTCTCTCCAATATGTCGCCAAAAGTCCTCCCTCATGTAGAGTGAGGATCTATTTATAGATTTTCATGAGTGACACACCCCGTAAATAAAGAAGATCTAGGTCAGCTTCATAGTGCTCCATCGGATGACCCGTATTGATTCCCCCGATTATAGAGCATTTTTCAAGTGTTTAAGTGCCTTAATAATATCGGAATTCAGTGATCCTCAGCTCATTGGATTCGTCTTGCTGAGCCGTTCAATTCTACTATAAGCATGCCATATTTTGATATAATTTCATCATCCAATTAATACTTTGAACCTTCTTAATATACTTCGAACTCTTAATTCAGGCCCATTTGAACTCGAATTGTTCCGATTTTGGTGTTGTTGGGTTCATCTCTTCGATACGTTCAATTTGACTATAAGTTTGCTGAAATTGGAGTTCAAATGGTCTTGCATTTAATTTCAGAAGTTTTCAACTTGAATATGCCTTGAGATTCGTGCTCGATCAAAACAATTTTTAGTTAAGTATCAATAATTAAACTATTAGACATTTAAAAGAGTAGTCATGATAGAATAAATATGAAATGAATTATGTGAAAGAATATTTTATAGTGTGTGTGCATGATATGATAGAATGCAAATAAATCTATACAAGTAGACATTTAAAAGTTTAAATTTGTTTAAAAAAAAAAGAGAAATGACAGAACTACATGAAATCATTGCAAAGTACAATTGTAATAAAGTTAGTCTTATTCTGATCAAAATGTATCAAGATATAAATATTTTTTCTTTGGTTTATCTGTGATCTAACAAACAATTTTTGTTTTACAGGTATCGATATATAATAATGAATTTCCCAACTACAATAAGATTGCACTAAGCAAGTGAAGCTTATTTTCTTTTTTTGACAAGCCACCATCGGCTACGCTGCTACCTTTGTTGTCCGGAACTTCAGGTATTATATCAAACTTCATTTAGGCTCTTTTGGATTGCCAATTTACTGTTCATTGATGCGACATCATGGACCTATTTGTGTCTAATTGATCACACTAGAATGACCCTCCATTTTGCATTTGCTAAGGGCATCTCCAACCGAAAATTTCATTTTTCACGGCAAAATAACGCAAAACTCCAAAATGGCGCGGTGATGCTCCAATCGAACGTCATTTTAGGTGTTTTTGAGAAGGTAACGATCGCTCTCCCTTTCGCGTGTTTTTCCGGTTGAGAGCAAAAAATGACGTGAGTGAACAGTGCGACGCCAATATTGGCGTCGCTCTGTTCACCTGCGATTAAATGACGGAAATTTTAGCGTTCGGTTGGAGCGACGGAACGACTCCATACACTTGTTTAGCGTTCGGTTGGAGATGCCCTAAACTGTCATTTGACTTGTTATCAATGATAAGTCTTCATCTTATATTATCATGGACTCTAATCTCTTTAGGACACGGGAGGATGAACAAAAATTAATGTAGAAGAAAGGTAATTTTAGAATTATGTCCCCTCTCAAAAATAAATTTTCGTCCTAATATGATCCATCTGGTATTTTTTGACCATCCATCTGAAGTCTTTGATCTGTTCTCCCTCTCCCAATTCCCCCCTCTTATTCATTTTCCCACCAAAGCCGAAGCTTCGGAGGTTATCATCTTATTTTTTTCCATAGAAAATATGAAACTTCAAAGAACCAAATCAGTCTTAATTTTCAAATATTACTTGTATGAGCTTGTACATTAAATTCACAATTCACATGCACCTACATCAGATTGATCATTAAACCAACACCGATGAAATTCAGGCACAATTATTTCTGCAATGACCAGTTTTGTTAATGAAGACCTTACCTTGGTTAAGCCTTAAGTGACTAACATTATTTTTGGTTGACCATGATGATTTAGGCCGGTTGATAGAGAAAAAACATCAATTTTATGTAGATTCATTTTCAAATAATATAAACTATATAATGAATGCATATGATGCAATTATATATGCAATTTTTAAAATTTATAAATTATAATGAAATATAAGATTTTGCTTATAATTTTAACTTATATATAAAAAAATTTAGTATTTAAATTTTTATATAATAAGTCTACCCATCATAAAAAAATAAGATTGGATCTGCCCCTACTTTAAGACATTCAAAACAAATCATGTTTAGCCCAAATTTAGGCTTCGTTTGGGATGGCTTTCTTACTGCTTCATAAAGCCGCTTTCTACTAGAAAGCGGCTTTATGAAGCAGTAAGAAAGCCGTCCCAAACGAATCCTTAGCTTAATAGTGTTGTCCTTTAAAATCGTCTTATATAGCTGCGTTACTATGTAAATGGTGCATGAATCGGTATCTTACCGCTGTGTTTTGCTGATCTTTTACAGGTAAAGGTACGCCCAGTTCAGACAACAGGGGTTAGGGGTTTAAGAATGCGAGATATTCTCCTCTTTAGTATTATTTATTTCAAAGAATAATCTGTTCAACTTAATTGCAGATAATTTTACAATACTATAGCATACCGATAGTCTAGGTTCAGCAATATTGGCGAATTGTTGACAACTTACTGTCTTTCCACTTGTTCGCAGTTCCCTGTACCTACATAGGTGAAGCAATAGCAGCACCACATGCATCTCCTGAGTTTGAAACCGAGGCTTCATTTCGGACGGCTTTCTAAAAAGCTGCTTTACGAAGTAGTAAGAAAGCCGTCCCAAATAAAGTCTTAGAATGTTTTTATCATTGCAAAATACTTGCATGGCTGTGTCTTTTCTTCTTGAGGACTATGTTAATTTTGGCATTTTAAGCTCCTAAGTCCTTACCAAATACCAACAAATTAAGAGGAGATACATACAACTAATATTTAAAATAAAGCAATGCTTCTCAATTCCAAAATTCAAGTTATTTTTAAAATATAAATTTCATATGAGACATTAAATATGAAAAAGTAAGATATATTAACAAAAAACTATAGGCAAATCTTTCAATTTTTTTGGACATATTATATATATTTGATGTACATTGAAAATATACTTGATTTGTTGGATGTTTAGAATGCCAACCTCCTGTAGTGGAATAAATGTTTGATGTTGTTGTTGATATTGGGTTTGATATTTAGGCTTTGTTTTTGCTATAATTTTTTTTTTGAATTAAAAAATTTTATATTAAAAAGCTATTTTAGAAAGCAGTAAAAAAACTTTTACGAACGAAGCCTTAGATCAATGTTCATGAAAATTTTACTCTCCTGCCATATAACCTTCATGAAAACTTTTTAGTTCTACTACTTCTCTACCTCTCAATGCTACCTCTTTTGGCTTCAATTATCAAACTCCCAAAACTTATAGATAATCTCTTAATAGTCTTCATCCCATTCTCCACTACCCTATACTATCTTTCACCACTCTATGGCCTCTCGTCTTCAAATGGAACAATTATTAGGTCCAGTGATCGGATGTAGCTCTACGTTCGGTCACCACTAAGATCGCGCCACGTGCTTTTACTCTTTACCGCGCGGCTCAACGACTTGACCCGGACCGGAATTCGGGAATGCTATGTTCGCGTATTGCTAGGTATTATTCGGTATTTGCTCGGTATTGCTTGACAATAACGAGAAATATCGTTTTGTGAAGATCAATACCGAGCAATACCGAGTAATGCTGAGTAATACCGAGTTTTTCTAGAAAAACTCAGTATTGCTCGGTATTTGTCTTCACATAATGGTATTTCTCGTTATTGCCGAGCAAAATCGAGAAATAACTAGCAATACCGAGCAATACCTAGCAATACCGGGTTGTCATGGATTTAAAAAAAGCACTTGTGACATACCCACTATTCACCGGGTCGGGTCCGCAGTTTGTGCCTGCTACGTGGCGCGATCTTAGTGCCAGCCGAACGTAGCTCTACGTCCGTTCACCGGACCAAATAAAAGTTCCGTCAAATGGGATATTCCACTTAAATATATGTTTAGCTTGCGGAATAATATAATTTATCTTGACCAACATTTTATTCACAGGATGCTAAGGAAGAGGTTTAGAGGAAAGCAATGTCAATTAAAATTTCCATCATTCTAAGGTAAAGGTATTTAAGTGCCTGAACTTTGTAGACCCATACAAATAATATCAAGCCGTAACACAATGTATTCGAAAATCTCATCATATTATTCAAATATGATCGAGGATATATAATTTTTTAAATCTCCCCAACATGTCAAAAGAAAATGATTAATCAAATATTGTAACACTACTCCAATCAACTTACATACCTTGTTCAACAATTTTCAAGTTTTTGTCACATAAATGCTTTTTTTTTATTAAAATAAAATGAAAGCAATTAAAAAATAAATTGATCCACCTAATCTTAGGGGTGCCAATATTTGACATGACGCGAAATCCAACCCAAACCGGGTCGGGTTTGGGATTTTGACCCATTTGTAAAACCGGGTCGGGTTCGGGTTGACCTGGAAACCCGAAATCAACCCGATTTGACCTGTTTTTAATTAAGTAGGAGGGTTTTAAAAGATTGTTATGAAATAAATAAATGTTATTTAAAAAAAAAAATAAACCATGTTACCAACATTGAATTAAGCTTGGTTTATTTTAAATTAATTGAAGTAAATCTTACTTTAATTTGATCCATGTTTAAATAAATCGAATTAAATAAAAAATTTAGTAAAACATACCCAAAGCGAGTCGGGTTTGGGTTGACCTGGACCTTAAGCGGGTCGGGTTCGGGTCCGAAAAATCATCTCGTTTGCAAAAAATGGGTCGAGTTCGGGTCTGGTCGAACAGTGTCAGGTCTGTTCCGGGTTGAACCCAATTCCAACCCGTGTCCCGATTTTGACAGCCCTACCTAATCCAAAACCAAAAATTTGTAGGATTATCATTACTTTCAAAATTTGCACCTTTTCCTCGCAATAAATCCTTTTGAAAATTTTGTCAACCTACAGGTTTTTCAGTAGTGTGTATAGACTAAGACAAATCCTTTCGAAAATTTGCTTTTTCTTTCATATAATTTTTCTTATAGTCTTAACCTATCTAGTTATCCATTTGGAAGCATTTCCCATGTGTATAAGTATGCTAATTAAGACTCTTGTTGTCCTATAATGTTAGTTGTGAAAAAAATTGGTAAATAATCCAAAATGTTATCTGTTTGTATCCAAAAGGACATCAAAGCATTTCCCATGTTTAAAACTTTGCTTATTTAGTTTATTATACTATGACTTTGAAAGCAATTGTAAAATAATCTAAGCAAGTTGTCATGGCTTTTTGCTTACAAGAATAATCTTGTATCTATCAAGAAAGGTCAGAAATACTTAACATTAAAGATTTTTTCACCACTTTTTCATATCTTATGAATTCTTTGGTTGTGTAGAAAAAAATGAATAGAAATATATTTAATAATTTCTTAAGTGATTTTTTATAATCTGATGGTTGGAGAAAGTTATTTATTTAGGTCGGTGATTTGACCTAGGGGTGTCAATTTCGGGTCACGGGTTGGGTTCGGGTCGAATTCAGAACTGACCCAGGTTCAAACGGGTCGACCCTAACCCGACCCGGGTAGACAAACGGGTCGGAAATCCGAACCCGGACCCGACCCGTTTTGAAATCGGGTCGGGACCAACCCGGATTTTCCGGGTCGGGTTTTCGTGTCGTGTCAAATATTGACACCCCTAATTTGACCCACACACTTTGCAATTTATTACTTATTATTTATAACAAAAAAAAAAAAAATTGTGTGAACCACAAGATATCGGAAAAGTTAGCTTCAATGCTTAATTTTAGATCTCACTTAAAATTTAAATTTTTTTACTATTTTGATTTATGAAGAAAAAGAAATGGTGAGACCGTTGCACTTTGTGCCTCACATAGCTTGACAATTGCTCTAATTTTATGGCTTCAAATTTGTACTATGTTGAAGAAGCCAATCTTCCCCAACATCCCAAAGAAGAAGTCAGTCTTTGAAGCAATCAAATGGCCATATAGCAAAAAACAATCTTACAAAGTACAAATTTGCATTCTATATAATAGTAAAACTAATTTGATTGCATACCAAATAATATAAATAATATCACGTGCAATCAGGCGATGCTTACATAGGGTAAGAACGATTCAATACTGGCCTACCCAAAATAAGCTTAGGTTAGCCAAGATTGATCAGTTTATTATATGGGTTATGTTAATACAAACGAAGACTTGGTTACCATAAATCTTCGTTTCGTAGCCCATTTACGATGAATGATTAATTAGGGAGAGACAAATATTTAAACAAAAGTTATAACCTATCATTTTTATTTTTTGGTAGGTCTAAATATGATCTACAAGTTTTCTGGAAAGAATTCAAATTAATTTGACACTTAGAATTTTCCTTCCTAAAATTTATTGAGATTTTGCTATCAAGATATGTAAGTTAGTATATTTTGTAATTGAATAAAGATATCTTCAATGGTGAGCATCATAATTCGTCCTTGATTGCTTGGCTAACATTGATATACCCTAGGTAGGTCAATTTGGTTGTCTCAAGTTGTGATCATCTAGATTTTTTTTTAATAATTTTTAGATAAGCACTAGAATACCACCCCCCCCCTTTCATCACCCTTCAAAATCCGTAGATAAACCTAATTTTTTTCATTTGAGACATTCTAAACTTTTAGATTGTAAAAAAATTCTGAAGCTGTAATCATTTTATGAATTTTATCAGCTTTTTTCAAGTATTCTAATATCCTTCTCTAAAATCATTTTTAGGTTGGACAACTCCCCTCCTTTCATGAAAAATACTACTTATCCCACTTTTATTGATTTTTTAGAGTCATATAATCTTCCCTCTATTTAAAAGAGGGAGTATACTTTCCATTTTATCATCTTCAATAATACATATAGTCCCACATCCTTTTAGGTTATGGGATGTCTTTACCCATTACCATCATGCATGGGTCATGTAGTTTCCTCCTCCTTCATAGAGACGGATTATTCTGTCCACCTTCATTATCAATTTAGGTCATATAATCTTGCTCCTTCCATGATAGGGGTAATTCATCCTCCTTTTATCATCATAATTGAGTCCCACAACACTTCCTTTCTTTCTAAGAGGTGAATTATATTTTCCCACTCTATCACCATCCGAAAGGGGCTATCCTTGCCTCTTTGTCATCATCTTAAAGTCACGTAATCTCTTTTTCTTTCAGGAGATAGACTATACTTCCCCTTTGCAACTATATTCAATTTTATAGTGCATTCTCTTAGAAAAATTATTATTCTTCTCTTCACCATCATGTTTGGTGTAATCCTCAAATTTATTATATGTTAGATGTCATATCAATCATACATATATATACACATGACGTAATAAACACACACACACATGCGTGTGTGTTTATTGCGTCATGTGTATATATATACGTATGAGACACTTTACTCCATAATTCTAGAAAGAAGTTTCTCTAAAGAGAACATCTCACAAATCACAATTTCTCTTGAAAGAACCTTGAATATCAATATCAATAATATTAATTAACATGTAGTTTACAAATATTATAATTATATGAGGTTTTCTATGTAGGGGATGAGCCTGATATCCATTATGACCATAATTAACATAGTTTTTTTTTATTAACATAGTTGATGAGGCTATTAA